ACATGGCACCACCGATTGTACAGCTACGCTGTCTGCATCACAAGGAAGGAGCCTGGAGCGACCTTCCTTATCACCCCTTTCTGGATAGGTCTAGGATAGAGTCCACAGGTGAGGGGCACTCCTGCAAGATTTGGAATGTGGATGAGAAGAAGCACCATTGTAGTCTGACAACTATTGCAAACAGACAGCACTTGTGTTTCACCTCCTGAAAACCACCATCCTACTTTTAATACCTACATGACTTCAGTTTTCCTAATCAAATACTCTGTATAAAGTGGAGGGAGAGGAAATGTTTCTGGAAGCAATAGCGACAAAATGAAGGTAGGATCAAGAAGTGAAGAAGACCTGATCCAGTGACTCTGGGGCATAGAGTATGACAATGAGACTGGAGTCTAACGCAGGTGCTTCCATTATGGGGGATTTGTGCCACATGTTTATTAAAATCTCATATGACAGGTTCAAAAGGTTTGAAAATATCTGTACCACTAATTTGAATTTTTTTTCCTTGAGCTTACAATATCTTTTCATAGATTTGGGAATTCTTTAAGACTTAAGATATTATTTAGGCAGTGTCTAATATCACACTTCTCATATAGTGCTACAGATAAATACTTACAATTTTTCAGATTTTAAATCAACTAATCTTTGGTATTATTAAAAAAGTCTTGTCTTCGATGGGCAATTGTTTGGTGCCTTCATGGAAGGTAGTTCATGTTTTGTAGACTTTAAAACTTTTTAGACTTTCCTTAAAATTTTTAAACAAAACTTTCCATAACCAAAGTAATAATTTCTTTACCATTTCTCCATCTAAAAGTATTTTTCTTGTGTTTGTGCTAGTTAATCCAAGCTGTTTAATAGCTGGCTCAAGTTATAAGTTCAGATCCTATTAAAAAGTGTTTAGGGTGTTTTTGTTGGACATTTAATTCTGGCTCCAGCTCCTATCTTTGTCAATTCTGTTTTTGATTGTTGAGAGGAAATGTCTTATCAAACTCTCTATCTCTTTGTTAAAAATGTCTCTAACAGTTTCTTGTTGTTGTTGTTTTGCTTTGTTGCACTGCAGCAACTTGCAATTGCTGTTTGTCATGAATTTTGGAGTTTACCTTCTTCCAGTCTCCTGTTCTCTTTCCTGTGCTACTCACAGTACTCGCTTAGTCATCTCCATTCATTCCGCATCTGTATCACGCCTTCATTTTAAAGTTAGATTTGTGTCCATACTTGTTTTTTAAACTAAAAATTACTTACAAATGAAATAATAATCAATATTGAAATGTAATTACCAACTACAATGTAGGTAAGTGTCACTATAACTCATGCTGTCTACAGAAAATATTCAAATAAAAGCATTCCATCAATGTTTAAAAAAGATCATTCAAAAAGAATCAATCTATTGGCATTGACTAGATCAATGGTGTGTTTAGGTGTAATACTCGAAACAATGCATGGGGCTGACATTGAAATTGCAGTACAGCCATCATATGTGACAGAACAGTTAGAGTAAAATGTATTTCTGCCAAAATAACAAGGCTGTGTTTCATGCAATATTTTATACAGCTTCGGTTTTAAGTTTAAATTAAACTAAATCATGTTTAAAATTAGATGAAATTTAAAATTTTAATTAGGTAAAATTTTTAATTTAGTTTTGCAGGTACGCCAGCTACATTTCAAGTGCTGGCCACTTGTGGCTAGTGGCTTCTATATTGGATACTGCAATTTCTAGAAAATACTCAAATATTGGGACATACTTCTAAATCATCCATGAGTGAAAAAAAGACATTACAAAGAATATAGAAAATATTTTAAACTGAATGATAGCGAAAACAGAATATACAAAAATTTGTGAGATATAGATAGACATGCATGGAGGGAAATTTTATAGCTTTCTAGCCTTATGTTAGAAAAGAAGGATTTTTAATAGTTTACAGGCTATTGTAGGTGACATGCTGGTACAGACCATGGATATTATTATCTTCTTTTGAAGCTTATTGAGTTTGTTCGTAATTTAAGCAGGCACTTAAATTATGGGCTGATCATTTTGACCTTGGGAAGGCCTGGTTTTAGACATTATTTATAAGAGACTACTTCAATTTTGCTCTTCCTTTAGGCCAGCGGTTCTCAACCTTTCACAGGGGTCGCCTAAGACCATCGGAAACACATATTTTCGATGGTCTTAGGAACCGAGACACCGCTCCTCTATCCGTCTCCAGGCCCACATGCAGATACGCCCACATACGAGTACCTGGCAACCCCTGTGAAAGGGTCCTTTGACCCCCAAAGGGGTCGCGACCCACAGGTTGAGAACCGCTGCTTTAGGCAAATCCCTTTGTCCTGATGTGTTTTTTAGGCCTAAAGTATGACCCTTTTGGTATTTCAGTGGAATTCCTGGTGGACTGGAGCCACAAAACCTGTCTTTGCTGCTGTGGGCAACTGCTGACATCATTGACCAGCTCTTCCAGCCTTCCAGGACAGTTTTCCCTGGACCCTTTGGAGATGAAAGCGCCTGGGTCAGCTAAAGATACAGGTGAGTTTATATGCAGGATTCCTAATGCCCCCACTCCCTCTGTGGCTCTGTTCTTTCTGGGAGTCCCCCATCAATTTCCACCTGCTCTGGCTGCCTGCAAACTCCATCCTCTTTCTCTCAGGTCACTGTAAATGTCGTCCTATCCCGGTGCCAGCAGGACAAGAAGTGCTCTCAGGGGAAAACCACATAAGCGTGGCAATAGTGTGGCCCCCCAGTCTTGACCACAGGATATTGACTAAGGGTCGAGTCTCCTATAGGGTCTGTCTGTATTCGGTCACTTCCCAGTGCCTTCACGCAGTTGTTTTAAAATTATTTATTTATTTATTTATTTATTTATTTATTTTCTACATGGTTTATCAATGTTATTCCAGAAGAATTGGGAGCTGGAAAACTTCCCTGAGATTTTCAGCAGCTGCTTTGACCCAAACAAGCTCAGACCCATTTGGGCTTTTCAAATTGCCCAGTCCCTCTTATTCATGCTTTACTCCGGTATTGAGATATTTTTCAAAATTAACAAATTCTGAACTTCGCTATTTTCACAGCCTTGGCCAAGACAAACCTCTCTCCCCACCCCGCCCCCTCTCACACCGCATCTTTCTTACTGATTCCGGGACTGTGGAGCTTCCAGAACATACCCCCACATGCCTTCTCTGAGCCAGAGGGGGTGACGGCAGTGTGACAACACCTATTCATCGTCCTGAGATATTGTGGGAGGCATCCTCTCTGATTTTTAGTAATAAAAGAGAGAAAACATCACATATGATAAAATTCAAAGTAATTCCTGTAGAAGTTTTCATGAATGACATGTTTAGAGTGACTTGCCACTTAGAATCACTGAATGAGTGTCATTTGGTGAAATGCTTGTATTTTCTATTATGCAATTAATTAAGCTAACAGAGTTAAATCAACACTTAAAGAAATTTATCTTGTCACCACAATGGAAATGCAAATGGTGTTAATTTTTACTCAATGGCTCTAAAGTTGTGAGTCTGTTCACTTAGAAACAAGATGACCTCGATTCACCGTATCCTTGAGGGATTTACCAATTTTCCCAAACTTAATACATAAACTAAGACAATTCCAATGGGAAGGCCAGTAAGGCTGTTCTCTGAAAGTTAAACAAGTGATTTTCATTTTCACACAGAAGAATAAATGCCTGAGAATAACAAAGGAAATAGAAAAGTAAGGAAATCAAAGCCACTATAATCAAATCAATGTTTTATTCATCTACAAAAGTAGAAGACAAGAACAGAATTGAAAATCCTGACATGAATCTTAGGGAGTATGAAAACTTAATAGACAATAAATGTTGCATTTTATTTTTTTTATTTTTTTTATTTTTTTAGCTGAGCCATCCTGCTACCTGTTGGCAGCTCAGCGGCTGCTCAGCTCGGGCTGGACTCGAACCGCTGTTGCTCAGAGCTCAAACTCTTGAGCGAGCTCTTAACCAACTGAGCCACTCGACCGGCCCAAATGTTGCATTTTAGTGGGAAATGGATCACTCATAAAATAAATGGCTCTGGCAAAAAGGCTATCTTAAGTATACATCAAAATAAGTTTCTGTTTTACTTTGAGACACTTTTCTGAATCTTTTAGCAAAAGAAATGCTCCATCTTTCTTAGGAGTCCACCATGTCTGGGGAAGGTGGGCGCCATGGCCTCCAGACCGGGAGTTCAAGGTCCTGACAGGGCAGCTGATATTAGGGGGTCTCTGACAGGCAGATGAGCCCCCAGAAAGACCTGAGGCTGCGTCTCTGATTTCTGATTGTCCCCCAGCACTGTCACCCTACTCTCACTTCCCACCCTTTCCAGGAGAAGGTAGCGAGAGATCCTTTGCCACACAGCTGGAAGAAAGGAAAAGAGGGGTCTATCAGGTGGCACTGCCCCCCGTTCCATCCTATCCTGTTTCCATCAGTTGATCAGGCTCCCCAAGGAGCATCTTGAACCTCAGAGAAGCGGAGGTGGTTCTGAGGCGTGTCAGTCTCTTTGTGAGGTTCGATGGCACCACTGAGAGGTTACAGCCAGACCAACAACCTGCTGTCTTCTGGTCCAGTTTCATATCACTTCCTAGGAACCCTGTCGGTGGGAGCAGCACCCTAAAAAGACACCCATGCGATGCAGTTTTCCCATCAACCAGGCAGCAGCTGCAGGCAATGTTTAAGTCATTCAACTGCTATCTTTGCAGGTCCCCTTTCTTCTCTGCCTTCTTCCCCCACATACATTATTGGGGGACCCATTTACACTCCCAGACACTCACCCATCCACGTTTTCTTCCCACTATCAAGTGTGAAGGAAAGGGGTTGCAGATCAGGCTGAAAATCACCTTTGTTTTCTAACACCAGAGGAAGATTTAATGAGAGGGGAACTGACGGGTGTATGACCTCCCTAACCTACGTCTGCAGCAGGGAAGTGCTCCTCTCTGCCCAAGTCCCCTTGGCACCTCCTGGGGCCTCCATGTTCTATAGACAAGTCTTGGGTCTCTCTTCCTGACCAGGCTTGGCTTCTTCGATGCCCCCACCCCACTTTGCCATCATTGCCGCCAGGAAGTTCCCACGGAGCTCACTGGTTGTGATTCGATGGCCTCTTTCAGGGGTGAATAAAGGGATTCTCCTCCTGTCCCTCCTGTTTCTACTGGCCTTCTCCTCCCCAGCCCAGCAGCTGTCCCTCCCCACATGTCACAGAGCTATTGTTATGTCCTGAGCCACCACCCACAGCACAAACCTTACAAGTCATTATGCCTGCCCCCTTACAGGCCAGGACATAGCCCAAGAGATGTCAAGTCACCTGGTCACTGTCCCACACTGATTTGCTCTCATCGCTTAAGGAGAGAGTCCAGTGACCAGGACGCTGTGGGGGTTACATGGAAGAATGAGGCACAGGCTGCCCTCAGGAGGCTTTGCTTCTGTCAGGATAAAGAGAAGAACGTCAAGAAATGCTACACCAACGGTGTGAGGTTCCACCTGAGAAGAGTGTGGAGGAGGCAGAGGAAGCAGCGCCCATGTCTTCTGGGCGATGTGATGAAGGAGCCGATAGCGAGATGGGAACTCTGGAGCCCACATCCCCTCCAGACATGGATCTGCAGGCTGGGATGCTCAGTGACCCATGGGATGGGAGGGCAAGTGATGGCCTGGCAGCTGGACACGGGGGCTGAGGGAGGCTCTCGGGAAACAGCTGCTCTCACTAGAGCCATTATGTGCTGCAGTAGGTGCTCCAGTAGGTGCTCCAGTGGGTGCTCCTGTAGGTTTCCAGTAGGTGCTCCAGTATGTGCTCCAGTAGGTGCTCCAATAGGTGCTCCAGTAGGTGCTCCAGTTGGGGGTCCAGCAGGTCTCCTCCAGGAGAAGTCTGTTGGCTTCCTCAGACTCCTTCTGGATTCGGCACAGGTCCTCCCTCCAGGACTCCTCGCCGGGCACTCCCTCAGGGCGTGGATCCTGGATGCTGTGCCTGCCCTGCACGTGCTGGTAGTATTGGTAAGCCTTGTTGCTGTAACAACGGCCTTCGTTCTCCCACAGGACGCCCTCGATGCTGTCCATGAGCTCCTGCAGCTGTGCCTCCTGCTCCGCCTCCCCCGCCTTGTTGTTGAAGCCGCAGTGGCGCCGCGCACACATCTCGTCCAGGTGAGCGAGTTCCCGGTTGTCGGTGTCCCGCACGTAGTCATCCAGAGAGCCGCCCTCCAGGTCTTCCTTCCGCGTGAACACCAGGACGGTGTAGGCCAGGACGCCTGTTCCGAAGACCTCCTGGAGGCGCCTGACCACCTGCTGGTCCTGCTCTGTGAACCGGCCCAGCTGTGTCACCAGGAGCACCGCGTGCGGCCCTGGGGAGGACATGGTGATGGCTGTGCAGATGTCCCTGAGGCCCGCTTCCGGAGGAGCCCGAGGGGACAAAATATCAGGGGTGTCGATCACCTCAAGCTTCTTCCCAGACCATATTCGGCTCTCCTTCCGGAAGGCCTTGGTCACAGGTGTAGCGCTGAGTTTAGACTCCAACACGTTCCTGCCAAGGATGCTGTTTCCTGTTGCACTTTTCCCACTTCCGGTTTTCCCCACCAGCATGAGCCTCAGTGTCTTTGGGGTCTGTTCCTTCTCGCTTAGATCTAGAATCATCAAGAGAAAGCAGGGAGGTTGGGGTTAGAGCCCATCCACCCCATTTAGCCTCATCAGAGTCCTCGGCCCTGGGAATGGCACATGGCCTCAGGGACACATGTCCTGGCTGGAGGGACAAAGGCCAGCATCTGCACCTGAGGCCTGCTCTGGGCTCACATTCTTTTTTCTTTTTTGTAACTGTGTGTGTGTGTGTGTGTGTGTGTGTGTGTGTGTGTGTGTGTGTGTCTGGTAAAATATACGTAACATAAAACTTGCTGTTTTAACAATTTTTAGGTGTACAATTCAGTGGCATCAAGGCCCTTCATGCTGTGACTGCATGGGAGTTTCAAGGACGCATGGAAGGTGGTACGTTCATCCCTGCCCTCCCAGCCAATCTGAAGTTGGGTGAAGACAGTAACTCCATCTGGAGCCACGGCATACCACTGACTCTCTAGCCAGGTACATCACCTGAGCTTTGGAGAGGACTTTTAAAGTAATATTTAACCTTGATTGCGATGAGAAAGGGTAAATCAGGCATCAGTACTTGTATTCGTAATTTTCCTGTACAGTTTATTAATATGGCTTTCTCCCAATGGCTCGGGCCATTGAAGTCCATTTAGGAAAAAAACCATTTGTGTTAAAATACATAATGAACCACAAATAATTCCTTCTGGCCAGGAAAATGGATGGATTTCAGCATTCCTAAATTCTGCCTCCCCAGGTTGGATGACTAACTGAACCTATGACAGCTAAGCGCCTGACCCTGATGAAATAGTTTTTGGGGAGAGAACCTCTTGAGAAGGCCCAGCCCAGTTCTGAGGCAGTGGCAGAGCACATCCCGCTTCTTCGCATGGTGCTTTGATTGATGTCCCTGAGCGCGCTCACATCCGAGCCAGCCAAGCGCCCACATAGGTCTTTTGGCTTCCAAACCTCCACCAATGTGAATCATCTTGTCACACCCACCTGCTGAGGAAAAAAGTGCAAACCCTTCCCTTGGGACTGGCACAGAGATGGAAAAGGGGCGACTCGTGCCATCTCTCGCCTCCTTCCTCCCTATGCCTGCCGGGGGCCTTTCCTTCTATTGTGGGTGGGGGGGGGGTAAAGAGAGGCCACACCCGAAGGCCCTCCGATGGGCCTTTGACTGGATTGAACTCTGCTGCCTGTCCAAGTGTACACCCTGCATATCAAACATGCCCGTCCGCACCTCTCTCAAGTTCACTTATGCTAGAAAGTCATTTTACCTCCCGACACATCTTGTTTAGGATGATGGGACAGTGCTTCTGTGGGGTTGTCTGGGAGAATCCGTTTGCAGTCTTCGTCCTCCATCTAGAGAAAATAACACAATAATATGTCTTACTGAGTTTTCAACTGAATTTTAAGAGACGCCTGACTTTGCCTTTCTTCTGTCAGAAGAAAGTTGTTTGCATTAGTTTGGGGGAAGTGAACTCACTGAGGAGAGGGGAGGAAAGTCTGAGACACTCTACCTCCTTAAGAGACTCTCTCTTTCCTTGTTTCTGTCTGCCCTGTGATCTGCATTGGGAGTGTAAGAGATTTCACGGAGAAGGTGCAACTGGCCTGCAGCCTGAGGGATGGGTGGCATTTAGATGGACAGAGGGTCCTGGAGCTGTTCTGAGAGGAGGACAAAGGAGCAGGGAGGCAGAAGCACGTCTGACACTGTGTCCCGAGGGCAGTGGGAAGATGTGTGGACAGAGTGTGCTGGAGGGTGCATAAGCAGGAATTGGGGTGGGCGTGGGGGAAGGGAGGTGGCATCTAGGTGTCAGAAAGAGCAGTCCAGGGTTGATCTCTGAGGAAGGCTTGGCAGTGAGGACGGCAGATGGCTAAGAGGTAGGTGGCTGGGTGCTGTGGTGAGGAGGCTGACAGCCTCTGCACAGGGACTTCATGATGTGGGGGACAGGCTGCTGGGAGCCAGGAGACCTCAGCGCTCATCCCTGTGACCATCAGTTAGGATGGTCACACTGCCTGGGCCTCAGTGTCCCCCTAAGTGTGAATGCTGGGCCTGAACTAGGTGTCACTGGGGTCTGTTCTGTATAAGATTCCAACACATTTTATGATGCTTTCTAGAGCAACTCCTAGTCCTCTTTCAAAGAGGGCCGTGTCACTCTAACCAGGAACGCTCATCATGTTTCTCCAACCCATTCTGCCTCACAAACTAACATAGTTCCTATTTCAGGAGCCCGTCCTGATGTAGCTCCATATTCTCTGTGGGATTGGGGAGGAGACTGCATAGCCCCAGGCTGTTTTCCAGAACACGTAGGCCACCTGGAGACATTCACTGTCAGAGACCGTCTCCAGATGGAGGCCCCGGGGCCTCCACAGATCGTGCCCTGAACAGTGCCTTACACCTTTGCCACACGTCATAGTTTTTGTCCCCAAGATAGAACACAGAGCAGATAAATCACTGTTATGTTTCTCAGGAAGAAAGTGAAACTCACAGAAGCATATTCCCCAAGACTAAGCAGTGAGTTTGAAGCAGGACACAAATGGCACAAAGTTCTGATGTTTTACTCACAGCTCTTTGTATTATACCACACACACACACACACACACAACACCCATACAACATGACATATACATACACTCACAAACACACACATACACTCACAAACACACACATACACTCACAAACATACAAATACACAGATACGTATACAACACACATACACACAGTCATAATACACACATAACATGACACACACACCACACACATACACACTCTCACATACAGACATACACACAAACACACACAGACGCACTCACACACACTCTCAGACTTACCACCGTGCCGGTCAGTGGACGAGAGGAATAGCCCTGTCTCCTGAATCCAAGTCCTTTGTGCTCTTGAAAATTCATTGTTTCGCCTTTTGGGGCTGACACATTGTAGGCTCCTGGGAGCACTGAATGGAGGAGGCAGAGGAAAGAAGACAGTGTTTATATTTTTCAGTAAAATCTAATTGCAAGCTAAGCTCAAGAACTGCTCTGGAAAGAGCAGCCGTCCACTGTGAGACAAACAGGAAGTGGGTACGAACACTCAGGGTTAGGCCTTCTGGAGTCAGAAACCATGCCGTTTGCATTTGTCTGCAGCCTTGTTAATATAAACAAGAAAAAAAAGAACACAAGACTGGTATTTTTATCCTGCACTAGGCTAACTAGAACTCAGAGACTTTAAAAAAAGGCAACAGATCCTTCAGAAAATTTTGTGTCAGGGGAATGATTTTTTATTGATCTTTTCCCCTCTCTGAGAATGACCCAATCCTATGCCTTCAGTATCGTGACAGACATTCTTGTCTCTTTTCTAACCCTTCCTTCCTTTAAATATTTTCTTTCAAGGCAAGGCCTTTAGACTTGAACAGAAACATGGCTCTTCCTGAGTCTTGAGTTGCATGTGTTCATATTGGAAGTACACCACCAGCTCTACTGGGTCTTGGTTTGCAGGTTATAGATGTTGTGATTGTCAATTCCCCAATCACATGAGCCAATTCCTTATAATAAATTATCTGAGTCAATGTTTAATAATAAACATTTCTCATAATAAATAAATACATAAATAAATAAATAAATAAATAAATTCTGTGTCTGACAATTCCAAGATCTGAGTGGATCTAATATTTGCTGTCTTCAGACTGTTTTTTCTTTCTTTCATTCTTTTATACATTTAAAAAAAAATTAGTTTCAGGTGCACAAAACAACGTAATAGTTATACATTTTACCCCTCATAAAGTGATAACTCCCCTCCCCCAATCTATTGCCCCTCTGACATCGTGTATATCAATTACAATTCCATTG